AACAGATTAGTGTACAAAAATGTACTCATCGATAACAGTTCTGTGATAAACAGTATTGTGGATTATTACTTCCAATAGACCTTAGAGATGCTTATGTCACATAGTTTTCAATCCATATAAACAATAGATTTTATCCCAAATGTGTTTCCCATATTGCATTGCAATTCATTGTTTGGCAATGGTGTGATATAAGAACCTCTAAGGTCTATTGGCAACCTTGGTTGTGCATTTTTATATAATGTATGTACATTTGAATATGATTTAAATTAGTGGTTCATTTAGCATTTTTCTAAAGTGGTGTAGCAGTGTAAAGCCGGGTTTAAATAAACTTGTTAATTAAATTAACCATTAACATCTAAATTTTCATTTAAACTCAAATGCGTGCACATACTGTATATGTTAATGATGCAAATTGCTTAGATCTCATTTATAGTTAACTAAGACTATATATATATATAACAGAGACTTTGAGTTTTAATGGATGAGTTGTACTTTCTGTTGTAGACATGAACATGACAACTCTGCAATGATAACTGGTCATAGTCATGTACTTGGTGCGGCTTCTCAATTTCAGGGTTGCCAGATTGGCCTCTTGGAGGCCAAATAACTCGAATTTGGCTTCTTTTTTTTCTTGCTTGGCCTCGAAAAATAAATTTGGCCATTTGGCTTCTTTTTGGCCTCTTTTTATTTTCAAGAGCTATTTTTAATTTCACGTGTAATACTAAATTAATCATGAGAAACAGGCCAAAACGAAACAAAATTTTGTGTATCACTTCTCGGAGCAACCATCCTACATTATGCGGATAACTTAGCTGCTTGTTTCGTCCAATCACAGTTCACAAAATTCAGCCAATTGTAAGTGTATAAAAATAGCCAATCATAATATATAGGATCAAGCTTAATTGGTACTGTTTTCGCAGACGTCCGCCTCACGAATATTTTTGTATAAAAAGGGAAGTTCTGCCCATTGTAATTTGCAATTACAGTACGCTCCAACTTTCAATCTTTTATATATATATATATACATATATACCCACACATATGGCCTCCAAATGGAAAGCGTCATATGACGGTGGAAGAAAGTATAATAAAACATGGGAAAGTAAGTTTAGCTGGCTATCGAAAGCATCGGATGGAAGTGAGGATGGGTTTTGTAAGCTGTGTCATACGGCAATGAAACCCAAGCAATCCAATTTAACGAAGCACGAGAAGAGTGAAAAGCATTTGCTGCGCGTCAAAGCTTCAAGGTCGGTCAGGCCAATTCAAGTCGTGCGGAACCCAACGATCGCTGAGGAAGTGAAAACTGCAGAAATCGAGCTAGCTGTGACAATGGCATGCCATTCTTCAATTCTAACCATGGATCATCTCGGGGAGATTATCGCTCGTAATGCGACAGGAAGTAGACTTGCGAACATTAAGATACATCGTACGAAATGCACAAAAATTCTTACTAATATAGTAAGTCCCACGCTGAAAGAAGAATTAATTGCCGATGTGAGTGGAAAGAAGTTTTCTTTAATCGTCGATGAGACTACTGACGTTTCCACAGCCAAACAGCTTTGTGTGATCATTCGGTATTACAGCAATGTCGAAAAGAAAATCGTCACAGCCTTTGTGGACCTCGTCACAGTTGTCCATGCATGTGCTGATGATCTTTTCAACGCCATCAGGGATTGCCTTCGTGGGATTAATCTTGAGTTGGTGGACTGCATTGGGTACGCTAGTGATGGTGCTTCCGTGATGGTCGGCGAACACAACTCAGTGTGGACTAGAATTGCAGCCGTTGCCCCAAACTGCATCAAATTGACGTGTATCTGCCATTCGTTAGCGTTGTGCGTCCAACATGCCTTTGAAAAGCTTCCATCCAGTCTCGGATTCCTTCTTGCAGAAATTCCGAAGTGGTTTTCTAAAAGCACTATACGAAGAGAAGCGTACAAATCGCTGTATGAAGTCATGAGCCCGGATGACGACCAACTACCGCCGTTCGAGAAGTATTCCGCAACACGGTGGTTGGTGCGAGGAAAGTTGATCTTCCGTGTTCTGACCAATTGGAGCGAGTTGCAGGCTTATTTTACCGTAGCCCAACCAGCAAGTAAACAGAATGCCCGTTACAAGGCACGTATGCTTCTTGACATGCTCAAGGATCCCATTCTTTATTTATTTTTCCAGTTTGTGTCGCCTCTAGTCTCTGAATTTGAACAAGTCAATGCATTTTTCCAAGCTACCGATGCCGATCCCGAAGAGATGTTCACTGAATTGAATACACACCACTTGTCTTTGCGTGGAAGGGTTTTCAACCAAGAAAGAGAGCAACTCGCCATTGAAAATGTTGATTTTGGTGGGAAGTTCCTGTTTGAAGCAATGAAATTTATCTCTTCTCAACAGGACAAAGCTGTTGCTCAAGCTAAAGTTCTTGAAGTGAAGACACGATGCCTAGATTTTCTTTTGGAAGCCATTACACAAGTCGAAAAGCGTCTACCTGCCACCAGCAACGTATTCAAAGGTTTAAGCGCCCTTCATCCACGAAAAGTGTTGAATGTAGCAACAAGAGTCCCTGTGAGTCAGCTGCCCCTTCCTCACCTACGATTTGAGAAAGTCAATGAGATCGAAGAGCAATACCGAAAGATCGTGCACCGTGACTGGAAAGAAGATTCTAGCTTTGATGGCACCATACCAGATACAATGGTTGCGTTTTGGTCTCGTGTCGCCGACATTCAAACTTCACTTGGAGACAAGCCATTCAAGGAATTAGCAACATACGCCTTGAACTGCCTCACTACTCCCGTAAGCAATGCTGTAGTGGAAAGGTCATTTTCCTTGTTAGCAGCAATCAAGACCAAGCAACGCAACAGGATGAAACTAGAGTTGATGAACGCGATAATTCGTATTTGTTCAAAGCTTCAGTTTGGAGAGAATTGCTGCATGGACTTCAAGACCACCAGGTGAATGCTCGAGCTGTTTACAGCCAAACAGTTGTATGATTCACAAGGAGAAAACAGTTGAACGTTGAGTTGACTTGACACTTGTACAGCTTTTTAGAGTGACATTAAGATTGAAAGTAGAAGACATTTTTAATAAGATTTGTCTAAAACGCAATCTATTGTATGTTTACCAAATCATGAACACGTATTCTGCAACATTCCTATTGAATGAACACACGTGGCGAAAAAGGACAAAGTTCTTGCATAAACCTGGACAATAGGACAATGATTTGTATTGCATGTGTTTAACTTAAGTCTCCAAACAATACATTTTATAAACTTGCAAATGTGTGTTAATAATTCAGTAGTTTTTTTTTTATTCTATAAATTACATATTCATATAATCAACAAAAAAAACAAGAGTGTGTGTTATCTCTTTCTAGCCCTCATTTCTTGACTTTCCACAATTTTGATTCGGTAATTTCAATTAATAATTTTGTTTAGCCTGCAGGGGGATATGAACACAGAAATCTACGTAACTGGCTAAAGCTCAATTTCGTTTCATACTTTCATTTTAACCAACCTCGTCCCCAGGGCCTTCCTCATTAGGGCGAGGAAGGCCCTGGGCCAAGGTTGCATTTAGGCTTTTTGAAAAATTAGTAGTTTGGCCTCTTTTGGTAAAATTTGGCCTCATTTTATACAGTGTTTGGCTCCGAGCATGCCCTGAGACCTGGCAATCCTGACCAACAAGGATAACAAAGACTAGTTTGTATAAACATATTTTATTCAAAATTGCATTTGCCCAAGAGCAATAGCTCATCTAGGGGGCTCACACAACATTTACATTTTGTGAGAGTTAAAACTCCATACAAGCACACAACAAAGGGCAAAAGTGATAATTGGTAGGTTTAACTAAGAAAAACGTTCAGTTTGCTTTATGTAGTACTGGACAGATTTAAAAATATTTTGGTTCTCGGAAATATTCAATCTAGCAGAACCAGACAGAAGAATATTTACTCGTTGCAAATCTGACAATAGATACCAATTATCACCAAACAATTGTGCAGCACTCGAGTGTAAGTTATGTCTAAGAGCAGCATAACAGGGACATCTTAAATAATGGGCAACTGTTTCATGCTCCATGTTACAAATGCACATAGGCGACAGGATACAATTTATTTTGAACAAATAATAATTTAAACCACAGCATCCCAATCGCAAACGAGTATGCAAGATTGAAGAAAACCTATCATTCACAATATCATATAACTTATTATATGTTTGAATATCAAAATATTGGCATAACAAGCGTTTAAAAACTTTAACAGAGGATAAATCTCTAAGCTCGAGATTGTTCCACATAAGCGTAGCTGAAGGAAAAATGACTTTTTAAATCTTTCAGTTCTTGACATATACAAGGTAAAATTTGCAGAGTTTCTCAGAAAAAGGCCCGACCTTTGTTGCACCGTTTGGGTAACAAGTCTGATAAAAAGCTTGGTGTAAGATTATTAACAATTTTATAATATAAAACAAGCTTATGCATAGAATGCCTCGTATTCATATCTTCCCATGCTAATTCATCCGACAATCTGGATCTACTAGTTCCCCTCATAGCACCTGCGACCACTCTTGCCGTTTCATATTGAACTGATTCAATGAAATCACACTCACTCAAGGAGCAATTATCCCAAATCACATCAGCATATTCTAAAACGGATCTTATAAGTGCCTTGTACAGTTGATTTAAAGCTTCTCTATTGATTTGAAATTTCAAACCCTTAAAATAATTTAATCTTTTTGACGCTCTTTCATAAATATTAAACACATGAGCTCTCCATGAAAGATTAGATGAAAGTGCGACTCCAAGATGCTTATGATTACTAACAGATTCAATGGCTTTATTATCATACTTTAGCTGAGGATGTAAAGGTTTTTGACATTTGACAGAGAATATCATAGATTTAGTTTTATCTGGATTAATAGTTACAAGCCATTTCTTAGTACATATATTTATAAGCTCAAGATCATTATTTAGCTTTGCTGAAGTCAAAGCAGGATCATCCACTATTTCAAGTAGGGAAGTATCATCAGCAAAAAGAAAAGAATTAGATTGAAGATTTGTAGTAATGTCATTAATATAAATTAAAAAAGCAAAGGCCCTAGTACAGAACCTTGGGGTACCCCTGCTTCAATTTGTCTCCAGTCAGATGACTGACCGTCAATAATTACCCGTTGTTTTCTCCCGGTTAAATATGATCTGAACCATTTCAATAAAGGGTCTCGCACACCAAGTCGTTCAAGCTTAAGAAGGAGTCCTCTATGCCAGACCTTATCAAAAGCCTTACTAATATCTAAGAAAACCATTCTCACTTCTTTACCTTGTTCTAAAGCTTCATATATTTTATGGGTTATTAATATAAGTTGATTAGTAGTAGAATCCCCAGGTTGGAATCCTGATTGAAATGGGGTCAGAAATTTTATTTCAAGCAAGAAATTATAAAGTCTAATAAAAACAATTTTTTTACAAATCTTAGAAAGACATGTCAACAATGACACTGGACGGTAATTGAATTTATCCTGGCAATCATTTTTCTTAAATATCTGTATAACATTAGCAAATTTCCACATAGAGGGGAAAAAACTCCTTGGGAAAGAGATTCATTAATAATATGGCATAAAGGATTTGTAATATTGTCTGCTCAAATGTATTTCCTATACCATCATAGCCACATGCTTTAGAAACATCAAAATTATTAAGTAAAATGTTTATTTCCTGAGTTGAAGTGGAAATATTATCAATGAACTTTACATCTTGAAAAACATCCAAACTCTGCAAAACAGTATCTGCATTTTCAATTTCATATACAGAGCAGAAATAATCATTAAATAATATAGCTTTTTCTTTCGTTCATCTGTTATCACTCGATCCCCGTCTACCAATGCTGGTATATTTGAATGAATCTAATTTCCATAATGTAATTTTATTAAGCCCCACCATTTCTTGGGGGCTAATTTCCGGGTTTTGCAATTTCTCATTAAGTTTAACATAAAAGGTCTCTTTGGCAGCGCGTATATGTGACGTTGTCAAATTTCTTTGCGCTCTATAATTTTCCCATGCTTCAGGACTTTTATGACTACAATAGTGTTTTAGCAGTCTATTTCTCTTACGAATTTCCTTTCTTATACCCAAATTCATCCAAGGTTTGGTTTATCTCTAGGATGAATTATTACTGTTCGATTAGGTATGCTAGTCTCAAGAATTTCACGAAATTCTTTATGCCGTTTATAATATATATCATCTATATCTATACTATTTGTAACTATGTTATCATAATCAATATTAAGTAAATTTTGACGTAATACAGCGTAATCAATTGTTTTAAAGTCCCAAATCTGATGTTTGTAACATTTTTTTATCGGGGAAAACATTTATACAAGCTTAAACAAAAAAAGAGTGATCACAGCCGCTAGGAGGGCTTAATACATCAGAAAACACAAAGTAACCTGGATAATTTGTTATTATGAGATCCAACAGGGTTGCACTATGTGATGTCACTCGCATCAGGTCCTTTATGACCTGATATAAATTATTACATTCCATCCAATTATTACATTCCATCAGAGGTTAACAACTTTAATTCAGTACCACACATACTAAATAAGGCTTGACACGAACGGGACAAGGTCGCATGCAAGGTGTCAGCCTGACTAAAATTTACAAACTACTAGCGTAACCATTATATAAAAACTATTATATACAAGCATTTAAAGTAGATAAAATTAGGAATGACAAGGACACGTCCTACACAATGAATAGGTGCAGGGTAAATCTGGATCGAATGTTGTTGTCAAAAGTTCCTTATAAGTCTTGTACAAGAATGTTTTGAAACTACTGAGAGTTGCAAATATACAAGATGGAGCTAACTTGAGGATTAAGTTCCATAGATGGACAATTCTATTGAAGTACGATGTTTTAAAAGTACTAGTTTTGCAAAAAGGGGTCTGTAAATACATTGACGACCCCCGTCTTGTTCTACTACTGACAAGAGGTGTAAAAATATTTGTATCGAGGTCAATTAGACCATATCTACATTTATAATAAAAAGTCAAATCTTTGATCTCTCTATCATAAGAAAGTGGCAGGAGATCTAGTTTCTTTAAGCGATCCACGTAAGCTAAGCCCCTCGTTTAAGTCTTAAAATCCACAACGAAGCACGTCGTTGCACGCCTTCAATTCTTTTCTTCAAAGTAGCAGATTCAGGGGACCATACTTGAGAACCGTAACTTAGTTGCGATTTAACT